CCTGGAAGCTACGAATGACCGTACGATACTCATTCGTGGGTTTACTTGTCTTTCTGAGTCTAGACCTATTAGAAACACTACAATTAGCAAATCACTCCATTAACCACATATGCAGCGCCGTGCGAACCAATAAACCAGTGGAAACGGATGTTGTGTTGGAAAGACATAGTCAAGTGTTTACGGAGGTAATCTTGAACAAAACTCATAATGAGTAAATCAATGGAAAATTGACTTTTCTTTTCATCATATCACCTCCTCTTCTTTCTTTGAAGACTATGTTGAGATCCATCTTTAAATTTTATGACTTCATCCTCCCCCACGAAATAATGTTGGGTCCTCATAACTCCAAGTTACAGTTAGTTTGACTCTATTTAAAGCATATTTCCATCATTATGTAGAGACTCCACCAGAACTGACTAGATGATGAGGATCAGGGACATTAGATATGAGGTAATTAAGGTTTGATTCTTGTGAAACATTTTCATCAGATCTCTTGAAAATTTCATTAGCGGATAATCGATCACTAGAATAATCAGCACCTATCAAAATTTTATTAGGTTCTCGATCATCGTTTGATGCATCCGACAAATTTTCCCCATCTTTGTAAGAAATTTGATCAAAAGTAGGTGAGTCATTAAGATAACTCAGATCTGGTAAAACAACGAAAGAACTCTAATAAGTACGAAATTCTTGTCAGTGTCCTTCAACGACATTCATTCATTCTCGTCTGGTATTTTATTCTGTATACTATGCGATATTCTTGTATTCCATTGACATGAACTATGCTCAGTATTTGATTTGTTATAACTCTAAGTATTTTTTATATATGTGATTTCATCCTAATTATTAGTCAAAATGGGTGTACAATCAATATATAAATGAGTGTATTTTCTACTAGAATCGTCATCGTCGTCGTCGTGTTTTGGGGTTAATAAATCATCACTCATACCAGTTTTGTGTTCTTACTTTCGCGTCGTGGAAAATGCAGAGGTTCCTCGTTTCGAGCATAAGTGACAAGCGTTTTCGACATAACAATCAGAGACGACAAAAGTAGCATTAAAAGAGCTAATACAATAAGAATTCAAACGAAAAGTTATAACAGTTATAAAGTTTAGACTGCCTCTGTCTCTACCGTAACTATCAGAATAAATCATTTCAGATTGGGTTATAACATAACTTTGATTTCGTACCCATTTTCAAAAATTCTTTCACTTTTGAACTCTCATATTATCTCAATATACGTAAAGAAAAATTCTAGTAGCAACGTTGACCTCTCCTTATAAAAACACTACTCACTAAAATGTTTGCATCTTAAAAAACCACTTTATGTTATCTCCAATTTTGTCTACCACTTTATATATAAGCGAAAAATCAAATAAGTTGCAAAGACAGAAAAGAGGGTTAGTGCTTGCATCTCTGAGTATATGCCACAAAAGTTGAAACTAAAAGAACAACATGTTTTGAGCAGTGCAGCATTTGGTCACTTAATTGACACTGGACATAATGATGGCGTTTCAAGATCCTTCAATTTGTTTACAAAAAAAGGACATCTGTTTCATGAAGTTTTACAAAATCAGTTGCTGTAAGAAGATTTAAACCAAATTTATGTTGCCAAAAAGATCCAATAGACAATCCCGTTTTATAATGGGCGGCCTGGATTACAAGTATATGTCACGTAACATTCAGACATGACATTAATCATAGTTACCTACTTCTTATCTAATCTGTACTTATGTAGTCGACGTTATTTTATACTTATGTATTACACAAATTATAACATTAAACTTTTATTTCACTTCTGAAATTATTGTGTTCATGCTTTTCCAAAATTTGATTCCTGAACATGAACAGACCACTGTCTCTTTAAAACCGACACAATTTTTGATCTACATCTTCTTGTCAAAAATAATTTTAGTGAAGAACTTAACCCGTATAGAGCGTTTACGATATAGTGTGTTGTAAGCCCGGCTAATTATCACGTAATTTATTCGCCAATCGAAATCGACGTCTGATCGGTCTAGCGTCCTTATTGGTCCTTTGCTCGCCTAACCCATGCAGTTGAGTCCAGAACACCAATAACAGCTTCCACTATGCGAACCATTTATTTCAGACATACTTGGTTTATATACTAGCGAAACAGACCGCATCGCACCATAAAATAGAAAATAGCATTTATACAAAATAAAGCCAAAAGTGGCTGTGAACGTGGGAGACGGTAATCAAATAATTGAGTATAACTCAAGAACAGTAAATCGTACAATAATAATTTATAGGTCAAAATGAAGCTCATAATAAGGGAAATATAGATATACATAATCTAATCACTGAATAGTTATACCATAAGAATGTATAGATAATATTAGTCTCTTAAAAAGTCTCAAAAGTTACTCGTGATTTATTCTTCGCTAGGTATAACTTAGTGCTTATCGAAAAGACAAATTTGTTGTAAGTTCTAAGCTGTTGAAAGGGATCTGCCAAATAAGTGAATTCATATTATCCTTCTTTGTTGTTTTTGCTTAAATTAGTAAATCTTATGGTTAAACGATCTTTCTACTTCTTTTAATAGATATTACATAATCTATCAACTTCTGGTCTACAAATTCTCATTCTTTACATATAATTAGTTAGATTATTATAAATATAGTTCCCCGTTCTTTAAACTGCTTATTTAGTTATTCGATATTATTTTCATGGTGAATTGGAATTTAGAGGTTGATAGCACAGCTTTAAATACTGGTTGTCAGCGTGCACCAATAAAGAATCCTAAAACAAGACTAAATAACTTTTTAGTGCTACCTCTCATCTATCAGTCCTTCAGACAAAATTACTTCCTGGTGAAAATTTACCATAAAAAGTACAACCTCCACTAACCCCACAACTTCACAATTTACAGTAAACTTACCTTCAACAGATTTTAACGAATTTAATGTAACTACTTTTGAGTAGTTAAAAACTAAATTTTAAAAAATGAAGTTTCATGATCAAATCCGATCGAAATTAACCCTTAACATTAATAGTAATAATAATAATAATGATAATAATAATAATAATAATAATCTCTTGATGACTAAATATAAAATTAACACCATGTATAACGGTATAAGTAAATGAAATAAAATAACACGTCATAAAAAACTAACCACATATAATTATTAAAAATATAAACACCATAAGGGAGAATAAAAGCAAGAAGTGTACTTAATGAGACAACACAATGGTAAAAATGGCTAAACAAGACCATTATACAATAGATATACATGAGTCATAATTGGTGAACATCTATAATTCGTTTGTCATAGCTTTAACTAACACCCCTTTAAGTTCCTGGATAAAATTTAGCCGACTAAGTAAGTAACCCATCTATTCAATAACATGATTGGTGTCATTCGATCATAAGCGCTCATAATTAATTGCTTTGTTTAGTAGTTTAGTGGGACTTCTGGAGATCATAGAACTTTCATTGTTTTTAAACCCCCAATCAACCTTAGCTAGACCATTGTAGGCAACTTGAAATAAACGGACAATTGTTTTTTCTAGTGTAAAACTTCTCAACAGTGAACATCAATGACCCTGCAACCGGGGATTGGACGCGACAACTTCAGTCTTGCGCGCGAACCTCTAACCTCTCGACTGCCAAACAAGCACAAAACTGTGTTAGCGTATAACTTAAATCCACTGACTATATTGCTCACCCCTGTTATTATTATCTCTCAGTTAAGAAGATTCAACCACTTTTTATGAAGAAAGTAAAAGAAGGTTACAGCGGGATCTCCACTGGCTCCTATTCTGAGCCATATCTGATAACGTCTCTAGCCACTGTGTAGCACCATCTCTCGGACCCCAACCAGGGAGTCGTGAGTGACCAACACAGGCAAGCCCTTTGCAGCTTTCTTTCATACCCCGACAGCATGTCATACACTGACCACCTCTCCGCTTTATCTTAAGGAATAATCTATATTTATGCCAAAACTCTTGTCTCATTATTATCATCATCATTTAAAATATACCTAAATATCCTCAAAATCTAGGCTCTTCAGATGCCTCATAGTTGTGCACTCAATAGAAGGATTATTTTTAATTTAATTACTATTGATTACTGAAATAATTCAGACATAATTATAATTCACACTTAAATAGTTCCCATTAATATAAATTGTTAAGTACAGTAGTCTTTATCATCAAGGTACCAATTGTAGCCATTCTTTAATTTCCTTGTAATTAATGCACAATTTATAAAATGGTGTCTACAATAAATGTTTAGCACTAATCCTAACTTTCATTACAATCTATGCGTCTAGTAGTATTGTATATTGACTCTATATTGAAGCATTTAAGATAATATTTTAAATTAAATTAAATACAAATTTATTAGTTGAATTCATGATTTAATTAAAGCTAGACCACCATCAAAGACCTGGAAGCACTGGGTTCGAGTCCCGCATGCGGGATAGTGATTGCGCACTGCTGAGGAGTCCCATACTAGGACGGAACGGCCGTCCAGTGCTTCCAAGTTTTCTATGGTGGTTTAGCTTTATTTGACTCATGAATTCAACTATTAAAAATAATGACAATATCCACAAAACCCCATTTTGACAAACTTATTAGTTTTGAAAAAGATTTTTTTATTATTGGTAAACAACGTTTTCATTTAAGTTGAATTGCCACATTACTACCAACATTAAAGATAATGACAGAAATCTGCTCACAAAAAAACCTACTCATTTGGAAATATTCCATTGGTTAAAACAAATTCCATTGATAAATTATCAACCAATCAAATCGTTGTCCGTTACAATAACATAAAGGGAAGTATTTATTTATTTCAGTTCTTGAAGATCTAAGCAAATCGTAATATTCATTCATTGAATAGTATTACAGCAACGAAGTTATTTTTTACTGCTACTCATATAGTTCAATAAGTACTTCAATACATTTAATAGATATATTTATTACGCAAACTTCGACGTTCAAGACACTCTATAACAAATAATCAAATTCTAATGAATGAATTCAATGTCCAACTGTCTGACATATATAATAAACAAAATAATAATATATATCAACATTATGAAGTAAATAATATGGAAGATATTAATAAGTGCCCAACTAAAGCTGAATATTACAACTGCTTATCTGAAACATCAAATATAAATTGGTCAAGAAAATTCATAGATGATTTAGATGACTGTAAAAGAAAGGTGGATACATCGATACCATTTTATCTAGAACAAGCACAATTTCAACATTCAATAAAATATCATTCAAATGAATCAATATTATTAGACAATAATAATCATAATGATAATTCAAATTTTATTGATTTCAATCAAATAGATTTACAGCCTGATTCAACTGTTATGGCACCGATTACAAATAATGATTTTGTCTATAAGGAAGAATGTAGAAGGAGACCAATGAAAAGTAAGTATGTTGTTTATTTATTACTTGTAAAAAAGTATTAAACTGTCAAAAATTAATTAAGATCCATTTGGAATAATTGAATGGAATTAGTTGCTATTCAGCTGATTAATTGATGACGATACTGGCTCAATATTCTAAGTAATCTATCAGTTGCTTCAAGAATAAAAGTAATATAAATAGCGCAAAACATATATCTCCGGCTTCATACCAATATTTTCCCCATTCTTTAGTGGGATGATGTGGCCTTAGAGATTTAAACCGAGTATCACAGTTGCAAGAATTATTATTATTTGTCTATTTAGGTTTAATATATATTTCCATATGTTTACTGTAATATCCATTTGTTCATCTTACTTTTAATAGAACACACAGTACATGGATTCCATTATGGGCTTAATCGATATACTTTTATTAAAGTTAGAAATTAATTAGTATGATGTCAATTATTCTTTAGTCAAGTTTTTATATCCTACTAAGGAAAAAGTGAGATTCACTAACTTCCTTCATGGAGCATAGACTACCTACTAGGATTCTCCAACGTACTCCGTCCTGAGCCTTTCTTTCCAGTTGTTCCCAAGTACTTTTGATTCTTTGGATGTCTGCTTTCGATTTCCGAAGTAATGTCTTTTTTTAATATGCTTCTTTCTTATTTGCCTTGATAATTATAAGTTAGAACCTGCTTTGTGATTCAGTTTTAAATATTAATTAAAAAAACATGATTCACTGTATAAATACTAAATAATTTAATATTTCAATGTTAATCAGTTAGGTGTGTTAATAAATATGAAATAACTTAAGCGAAGTATATTTTATTCAGTGTTTCGTTTCATTCATTCTCTCCATTTGAGTTTTTATCTAGTTCTCCAAAAATATGTCAAATATGTTATAAATCTAAGTAGGACTCAAAGGAACAATCTTAGTGGAGATAAAATATCCTCAATCGAAAAAAACTCATTCATTTTAAATTATACTCCAGAAAACTGTTAAATTTATAATAATTCACAAATTAAAACTACAAAATGATGTTTCGTAATATATACCTAAAGTTTCAGCGTATTAAAAGAATAAGAGGGGAATGGCTAGACAATTATAGAAAATCCCGAAGCTTCAGACCGCTATTTCATCCTGAACTAAGGCAATATGAACCATTCGACTACCAACTCCGTGGTCTAAAAGTTCATTGTTCGCTGAGAGAACATACTGTCCTGGATTCAGTTCTTGACAGGGACTTAGGTGCTGACTGATGAGAGGTTTCATATTAGGGCGAAACGGACATCCAATGCTTCTTGGTTTACAATACTTCTGTAATTTAGATCAGTTAGTAATGTCTCAGTCAGTCAGCTACAACCTAGGACCAGGCAAATATATGCATCAGCCCAAGTTGCCATACCTCATTAGAACAACAAGATGAACACCGAATTCATAGTAGTTACTTCAATGGTGGTAATATATAAAAGAAATATTGAATATAAGGATATGGTACAGGAAGAAAAAAGTAGTTGGTATAAAGAAAGATACAAGGCAATTTTATTCTCTTAGTTTACGAGTAGACAAATAGTGTATACACCTACGCTATTGTGATCGATTCTGAGCCATGTCACCAAGAGTCTCCAACCAAGTAGTCTGCATCTACCAACATGGCTCAGACCAGAAGTTAGTGACTTCAAGCACTGATGCCACGTTTTGGTTTGGTCGCCCATAACTTTCTTCCAGCCGTCCCCAACACTAGTCAGTATTGCTAGTCTTGGTAATCGGTGTTCAGGCATACGTAACACCTGACTCATCCATCTCAGTCGATGAAGATTCATAACCTCATCAAGTTATTTGTCATCATTCTCTAATACCCTGTGTCCAATTTCACTATTACTTATCCGGTGATCCCGGCAGATGCAAACAATATTTCTAAGGCATCTGTGGTCAAATACTAGTAACTTACAAGTATCTTCAACTCTTAATGACCATGTTTCGCAGCCGTAAAGTAAAACAAAACGAACTGCCGCGTAGTATACTCGTCCCTTAATTGATAGACATATATCTCGCCTTCGCTATATGTGTCGTAAGTTGGCAAAAGTCAAACGAGCTTTTAGAATCCGTGCTGAGATTTCGTCAGGCACCAACTCATTAGGGCTGATCAGACTTCCAAGATAAGTGGAGTTGTCGACGCGTTCAACTACTTCACTCCTTATCCTTAGTTCTAATGTTGACACTGGCCAGTCCTGAAGGAACAACTTGCATTTAGAGGGGGCGAAGCGCATCTCAAACATCCTAGCATTGCTGCCCAGTGCTACCAAAAGACTGTATTTTGTCCACATCTTCACCAAAAAGGTCTATGTTATCCGCGTATTTTAAGTTGAAAAGTGGACCTATAAGGATATTAATTCTCAAAAATTCAGTCGACGAGAACGAAATGTAAAGTCTACTACATATATAATTTCTATGTTGAAACTGGAAAACTTAACTAATACTACAAACTGTCTAATTAAATTACATCACAAATCAATATTATAAAATATAATATAGTAAATTTTTATAATTAAACTATTAACTGTTAAATAACAGTTACTGAAAATAGCTGAATAGATAAGAAAATTTAGACTGATCATTGTTCATTTTGTCAAAACAATGCTCATTGTCTTGCCAAAAAACATAATCTATAATTGCATAAATTTACCAACTTCTTAAGAGTTTCCTAATTGTTATCGCTCCGATATAATTAAACATAAATAATTATATTACTGAATTAGAAAAAGTTTAATATAAGAATGTTTGTTGATGATAAATAGTTGAAAACAGATCACATATTTTAATGAACTTAAATATTTAAACACTGTTTTATCATAAATGGATATGACTTTAGTGTTTTAATTTGTTAAAGAATATGTATTAATTGTAGTCTATATATGCGCGAGATCAAGGGTTGATTGGAGTTAAGCATTAATACCGTTAGTTGCCTATTCAATGGTTTAAAGGTTAAGCGTTCGCGCACGAGACGGAAGGTTCTAGGTTCGAGTCCCGAGTATGGAATCGTGGATCTTCATTGCTAAACAATCTCATACTAGAACAAAACGGCCATCCAGTGCTTCCAGGTTTTCAGTGGTGGTCTAGCTTAAATCGACTCATAAATTCAACTGTGAAAATACTACAACACTGCAAGTCCTAATATATATAACTTAATCGGTTAATAAAGGAATTATAATTTGAACTATTTTCTATGTATTTTTAATACTACTTTTAGTGACATTGTACACTACTCTTCTATATATTACTGTCAGTAAAAAAGTGGATGTTACCATATTATTTTTTTAAATATGATACGGTACGAACTGAACCTAATTTAAATAATCAAATCATGATTATTGGTAAAACTTACATGAATCTAACAATATGGTGAGTTAACTTAAGTTTAAAATGTTAAGCATTAAAATACCAATTCATTGATCTAAAGATTAAGAGTTCATAATAAAGCCTATAGGTCATAGATTTAATAAATAGCGAAGATGTATGTACACTTCCCGAAGGAATCCTATATCATAATGAAATAACTATCCAATTCTTGATGGATTTCGGTGATTACCTAATCAAATTCAATTTATGATATGAACTTGAAATTAGTAAAATATATTAACAAGTTTGTAGTTATTTCTCATTCAGATAAATAGATTTGATAAAATCGATAAATTCTTCAATGGTAACTACAATGTATATCAACAGTAAAACAATTTAACATTAAAAAATATATCACAATATTTGCTAATAAGGTAATTAGTTTTTAGAAAAATGTATACTGACCTAAATTAGCATAATATTCAGTTCATTATTTTTTATCAAAAAAAAAAAAGAAAAACAAGAGAAAGAAGAAAAAGACAATTAACTGATTAATAAAACTGAGTTTACTAGTTTCAATGTTAATTGTTCAATAGTAAATGAATTTATATGGATTTAAATGTAAACAAACGATTGTGGGTGTTATTTTTTTTAAAGAGAAAGGGTTCAAAGAATGATCTAGAATATGATAAGATTTTTAGTCAATTAAACTTGGCTGAACTGTATAATTTAAAAAGATTAATTAAATGTATTAATTAAACTAAATAGTTATTGAATAGATTGATTTTAAAATTATAGTTTCCACAATAAATCAAATGATGAAATGATTATTTTTCAATGTAGGTTTTAGTCTATCTTTATTCAGAAATTAATATTAGTTTAACTGTTTAAATAGTCCAAAGTAAATTGGTTTAGGTGTTTCATTTGTATGATACTAAACAATATGTTTCAGGTTATCATGGTTAGTTTTGTCTTATAGAATTTCTCTAAATGATTCAATAATTCTATTGTATTCTTTGTTTATTAATTAAAAACAACTAACCTATGTAAACTAAATAGTTTTGTATGGGTTTATTGAAGACGGTTGAGCAATGTTATGGATTAATTGAAGTTAAACATTAACACTATTAGGTATCAAGTCAGTGATCTGGAAATTAAGAGTCCGCGTGCCTGATCATGAATGCGCACTGTTGAGTTGTTTCATAACAGGAAGAAACATCTGTCCAGATTATATATAATAGGAGAAATCCTAATAAAATGTACCTGACAACAATTCCAATGAGATTGGATAAGTGAAAAAAGGATTTCAAAATAAAACGAAGTGATGTTCATAAATATGCGCTAAATAGTAGGAATACCTAAAAGTTCAAAGCTTATTTGTTTATATTAATTCAATGTTCAGTAAGTTACAATACCCAGTCATGTCAGGTTATAAAAACTAAACGATAAATGTTATCTTATGTAATGCGAACTTGTGAAAACCTGATAAGTTAACTTGATATCGAATAAATTTATACGTATTATTGATTTTTATAAATGTCTCTTCTTTTTACAAGAAAAAGTTTTTATCTCCATGTACATCATGTAGAATTGAGTATATATATGGGTCACTGTTGTATAACTCTTGAGAAGATATATCTAAACGATAAGCCCTTTCTTTCTCTCTTTCATTCAATTTAAATGTTTGTTACAGTTGATTATTTTTTGATTGTGGTTGTAAAAAACTTCATTTCTTTCGATTAAATTATGATAATCAGTACAAGTATCAATGTCCGTTATTCCAAATAGTTATCATCATTTATAAATTTGCAGTCAAGTGTAGATAATTATAGGGTTTATTAAAATAAATAATTTTGCTTGCCTTCTCTGTTCAAACTGATATATGCACACCCACAAAGGAACATTCATTTATATATATACCCCAAAGCAAATTCATATATATATGTAATGATTACGTATTACTTCAAATACTGACGGATACAAGCTACCACAGTCTACTTCATTTTGTGTAAGTATATTACCCTTCATTTGTTATATACATTTACTATGTACTGATAAAGATTACCTTGAATATGGGTCCGAATATCTATGAGTATACTTATAAAATTTAAAATTGCCTTAAGCAGAAAATGTTTGAAATGGATAGAAATGGGTTAGTTGTTGTATATAGAACAACAAAATCTGTCATTTTGTATAATCTACAGAAAAAACTGATGGTTTGTATGTATAGTTATATATGAATATGTTTGTATGTTTGTGTATGTATGCAATCGAATCAAAATGGTCAGAAAAAGAGGATATAAACATAAGGACTCAAATTTAGAAAGTGATATAATGAAAATTTTTTTCCATATTTTTACTGTGATCAAATTTTAACTTATTTTCTGAAATATTTTTAACTGTCAAAATAAAAAAAGTAGATTGAAACAGAAACAATTACAATTGGTTTATTGATGAATTAATTTTCATAAAATAAAATAACGATGTTAATGATGACAATACAAGAAGAGGGAGTTCAATTGATATTCAGTAGGCGGGGTCGGGGACAAAAATGATAATTCAAAATGTGGTGAACATGGGGGAGGGGGAGAGGTAGGGTTGGAAAATGATTCTAAGTGTGCAAAGTCAAGTGTGTGAAAAGAAAAATATGATAGAAGAAAAATGGTTTGAATAACTGAATAATGTAAACGTGTAAAACTATTATTGAATTCTATAAAACCGATTGAAATTTCTTTGAAAAAAAAAACAAACAAATAAATAATTGCAATATAACTAACTGGTCAATTCATTGAAACAGTGGTCATATGAATTATTTTTGATTAAATAAATTGAATAAATTCATTTCACTCCAAATTAGCTCATCCGTTAAACTGTCATATAAATTGTGATTTGTTCTGAGGTGTTATAAGCGATAAGAAAAGTATATATCAATATATATTAGGACAAGAAATACATTCTCTCCTCACTGGTTTTGATTGGCACCTCAACTGAGGAGAATTTCTTGATGAGTAGCATTTCAACATTAAATTATATATATCACTTCGTGTTCCTATAAGTTAACCATAACTCATTATGGAGATAAGTCCAATTTGCAGTCAGTTTTCATTCTAAACTAATTTTAATTGGTGAATCGTTAAAAATCAGGAGCAATCATATGGTTGTTTCATCTTACTCTGGTATTTTTTAGCTGTGGTAAAAAAGGATAGGTTTATCGTGCTCTACTCAATGGAATCGTTAATATGTACCGTTGTAGAGTTTTATCCCACGACGGAAATTCATTATGTTCCTTGATTTTCAATGGTGCACAAGTTGAAGTTAATCCATGATGAGAACTATTTCAAAATACAACTGTTTATTACACTTTATTCAATTATTTTGTTTTAACCTGAATGACAGTGGCTTACTGATTAAATCCTTTCATAAAACGTTTAATAACTCTTATCACTTTTCACTCAGGAAAATAAGAATAAGATCATGTTCTTTTGTTTTGATCATGATCGAATTTACTAACTATGTAGCTGAATAAACAATACTTAACAGCGTGTTGTTCACAACAGATTCACTTTATTTGGGATACTGTTTACAACCAGGAAGGACTGGTTAACTTTGTCGCCTCTGTATGAGACTCCTCATTATCAAACTTACTACTCTGATAAACACAGAATGCAGAATCTTCAAATCTCGTGATGACAACTTAAACTTTAGATCACTTGGTTGGCGTCTAAAAGTTCAAGTAATTTATTGTATAGCTGATCGGTTATCTAACGCCATTGGTGACAACTGTTTCCCTTCTGTCATGTCTGAACTCCACCGGTCACGAATTATCACCAGAACTTTAGGGACTCATCCTTGATGAGTTTGCGAGCATCCACGCGAAAAGCTGTCTGACGATTCCTGACTTTCAATGGTCTTCGAACTAAACTCGTTAAATGAAGTAAATTCACAAATCTTCAAAGTACACTCAATTATAAACTCATCGAATATCAATTTAAACTTCATTTTAAAATAGTATTTAAGTACGTTTATATTCATTGAATGATATTTTCTTTTTCAATTCTCTTAAGGACATTTAAAATCTCCAATATATCAAAAGTCTATTGAACATGTTGGTAACAATGATGATTCTGGTTTAAACGTTAACAATAACATATCACCGTTAAATAATCAATTAATAATCAGAAATGAACAAATTAATAATTTCGTGACTACTACAAAAACGGTGGAATTTTCATCTAAAGAACCAACAACTTGTGCTACATCATTAACAACAACGTCATCATCATCATCATCGTCATCTGTGGCAGTGGTTGTTAGTTCAACAAATAAACGATCTAGATCAGCTTATACAAATTTACAATTAATTGAATTAGAAAAAGAATTTCATTATTCCAATTATTTAGGGCAACCTAGACGATTAGAATTAGCTGAACAACTTGGTTTAACTGAACGTCAAATTAAAATTTGGTTTCAAAATAGACGAATGAAACAGAAAAAAGAATCTGTTGAAAAAGGCAAATATGAGTAAGTCTCGCTTCTTTTCCCATCCACTTCTCTAATGTACTGTTTGAAAAAATACTTAAATCGTTGAATAAAATCTCACTGTTTAAATGACATCAAACAGAGAAATGTCAGTCATGAGTCATTTTATATAAGGTGGCGAGTATGTACTGTTAAGTTATTCTATTTTAGCATTCAGAAACAATACCAGTCCTTTTCGGATATGTTTCACTTCCTCTAAATGCACAATATTGCTTCAGGATTAGTCTAAGTCAAGATTAAAATCAATGATAAGAAGTGAGATAATTGTATACATCAACTTGTTCACTTATTTTAGAAGCTTCATCATTCCTGGTGGATTAATAAACGACAAAATCTCGGTACAAATTCAGGAAGTACGGCTGATTTTGTCAACCTACATCACTTGTGGCGTAGGCGAGATTTCTTTTTACCAACTAAAAGACGGCTATATCATGCTTTGTTCTACTTTATGAGTGTGAAACATGGCCTTTAAAAACAGACCCCTCTAATCACTGCTGAGGTAAAACGAAGATTCCAAGGTGAAAGTGGTAAATTTGTTGGTGAAGTAGTGAATTTTCATCCGGCGAGGTGACACCAGACGATTTTTCGTGTAATAGTAGGTTAGAAGAAAACTAGGAGTGAACACACGAAATGTGATATCAATCCATGAAGCTATTGACTGTTGGACTTAGACATATGGATAGGTACAGATTGCCTATTTCGGGTCCTGGAGATTACCATGACAAATGGCTCAGAATTTTGGTTGACATGACTCCGTTTCATCCGCAATGGGTCAGATGCATTTACTGTTTTTCTTCTCATAGATCCTAAGTCTTTTAGTCATAAGTTAATTCCGCGAATCCATATCTCCTTCTCAAATCATATCTACTATGCTAATACTAGTAGTGTTACTTCATATACTACTACGGCATCTCACAGTGCTAATGTGATGTGACAACTTGAACCGATGCAGACATGCACATGTTGCTTGTTACTATTTGACCTAATACAGAATACTAAGATTTGATTATTTCTTCTAATAATGTCATTTTTTGACGAAAATTATCATGTACTTCAGTTTACGAGTGTATTTTTAATTGATTAGAACTTTAATCAAACGATGTGTTTAATGAAATCTCTTGAAAGATTAAGAATTGTATGAATTTGATAAGTTTTTGGTAAGATTTGTTAAATAAATCTACAATGTTGATAACTACATCTCTCAGAATAATCTACTGAATGTACTTTAGCAACTCCGCTGAAAAATTCAGTTTTTCACACGATACATAACATTTAATTCACTGTTTGTAGATTTGATGTAACAATGGATTTCACAAAGTAGAGTGCATTATATTCCAGTGATACATTACAGTAAATAATCATGCAAATGACTGATTACCGCATATTTGCAGAGATTAAGCGTTCACGCGCGAGATCGAGGGTCCTGGGTTCGAATCCTGCGTGCGGGATCGTGGATGTGCACTTTAGAGGAGTCCCATTCTAGGACGATGGGGGGGGGTCTAACATCGATTGGTTCGTGATCTCAACCAAAAAATAACATTAAATTAATTCACTTTTTTCTTATCGCTAAACAATTTTTAAAATGTTTGGTTTCAACAAATTTACTTTATAACAAAACGTCTAATTTACAGTCTCTGACGTTGATATGACTGAAATAGTCATAACCTGAAGTATAGGTCTGACAGCTTTTTATTCAGTATACTGTAACGAGGGGAAGTAGAATGATAAAGGTGTCTTAGTTATTGTTTTCTATAATCTTTTATATATCATGACATCAGTAACATGTACGTATCAATAAATTATTTATGCTCTACACAGTGATTACTACTAGGCCTATAAATTTATTCATAAAAGTTTCTTCATAGTCGAGATTCATTGATGAAATAAGTCTTAATGATGTATTAATAATTACTTAATTCACTTGTACATAAATTTGTATAATTTTAACGACAATTTATATCATGAAATGACGTCAGATAGAGAGTTATTAAAAAGAACTAAGAAATCATTGAACAGTTGTTTTGTTCTAGATCATTCAGCAGTGCATACCCTCGATCTCATGTGGGAATCAATATGGTGATTTTCAATTGATGATTCATAAGCCAGTGGTTTATAACATTAAACAGTTTGACTTACAGCATGATATTCATTTAATATCATCGGTGAATTATTGTCACATTGTTAACGTGTTTGACTCTACCTATCACTGCTTGTAATTATGATTTCATAAAATTGATCCTCAAAGTTTGTTCGTGTGCCTTATAAAGAAATCTGTGTAGTTTCAAATATAGTTGTTGCTACGCTTTCATACAATTCGGAAAAAAATGTAAATACTGATTACATAGTTTAAAGAAACCAGAATAATGCTGCTTGTTTAGGTTCTGTATTTCTGAATTACAAACTATCTGGAAATTATTCTAATATGAAACGAAGTTATTGTGAATCGGATAGACTGTTTGGTTAAAATGAAACACTTCATTGATAATCTCCGCTCCTGATTGATTAGAGAAGTCTTATAATATTCAAGATACTAGAGTAATCGAATTCCATTCAAGTTTATTCATTTGTGTATCGGTTAATTCAATAATTAATACTTATCACAACTTACCCACTGAGAAATCGTCACTCGGCACATAATTACAGAGAATTTAATAGATATCGTGAAAATACAGTGAAAAAATCCATCATTTAACTTAATACTGAATAAAACAAAACAAAAAATGAAAACGCATAGGAAATTAATGGACTAAACTCCCAAAATTAATATATGATTTTTTCCCATCGAAGAGTGAGTATCTCCAACAAAATGACTAGTAAAGGACCATATAATTAGAATGAATATCATATCCAATCTGATTACATTCGATCAGTAAATTCTATCTAATCTAATTATAGAACTTTATCATACATACATATTCACTACCTACCTAAAATCCATTTATATATACATTGTAATTTAAAAACAATATCTAAACCTTTCTGATCATGTGTAACATGTAGTTATTTCAATAATTAGTGTAGGAAATCCTTGATTTCTATATTGTCCAAATAATTCCCATCTTGAACTATTTTCAAGTATATACATTACATATAGTTTTATTAAAATTCTATCCATATATTAACAGTAATGATTATCATTTGATTATTACGTTTAAATAAATATTTTGAGAATAAATGGATTAAAAATGTGAAGTGTTTCATTTACCATAATCAATGTAGCCCAATTGAATTATGTCAATTGAGTCAAATCATAAGTTTAAAAAGATGTTTATTTGTATATTTAGTAACAGTGAAAGTTTAAGTTTGCTTTATGTCACTAACAGTGACAACTAACCACTTGTTTCGATTCGACAGACTTAAATATGATGGATTACAAGAATCATTTGATCACTGATCATGTTTTTGAAATAATTAATGTTTTACACATAGTTTCATTGAGAGAATGTGAATTATTAAATAGATTCTTCGTATTATACTATCTAAATATCAGTTGTGGAGTCTTTAAATATAATGTATGAAGAAACTGAAAAAATCCCCGGTAAACTAATACAACATACTTCTCGATTACATGAAGTTGACGTGAATTTATAAAAGTTGTTTTGGGGAATGTAATTTCTTATAATGAGATAGCTTGAGATAATGATGAACTTAGAATAATTCGTGACATAGTGTGAACCTATAACATTAATGAGGAAATATTCACTGCTTGTTTTTAAATGAAATTCCACTGTTCTTTTCTGTTTATGACTTTTATTTTCATTTCTTTCTTATGAGATTGAGATCATGTTACTTATATTTAGTAATTAATGTCATTATCAATCATTTTTAGCCTATAGAGTATAAGATATTTTATTTGTGCACTGTTTCGAAATAAGTACATCAACTTGTGTCTTTTAGCCTATTTATTATCATAGTTGTATTTTCTTAAAAATTTCAGCAGTTGCTTCATTTCTTATGTGTTCACTGAAAAGTTATTTGTCTGTAACAGTTCGTATGTTTATGTTAGTAGTTCTTGTTTCGACTGTTGTCCACTATTGAGATCTTCACAAAGCTATTAACTATTACGTAGTTTATTGTATGTTTTGTAATAATTCTAATATAAATATTATATAAATTACTCATTTTATGATGGTAAATTGTTGTGGTAAACGCTTTATATACCTCAAAAATTGAGCCTTATAAATCCCCAGCTTAGATTTTCACAAATAATAGTTCCGTACTCAAGACAAATCTCATGTTTTTGATTTCAGAATGTCGTCGTATTACTTAATTGTCTTATCAATTGTTTCGATCAAAATTAAAAACTTCTGTTGTATTACGTATCAATTTTTGTTAGTTTAGTTTTTCAATAATAAATCGCTTTTACAATATACAGTTATGAAATAGATAAGTTCATTTCATCTATGTAGTTAAAGAGCCAGTTAATATTCAGGTTAACTGATGAACCTTAGTGAATTGTCATTTCGGTGTCTTTGTTAATTAAATGTTTTATAGACAATTCTGTTAAATTCACTTGGTATTGCTTGGCTTGTATCTTCTCACTGAGGTTTAAGACTGCAATTGATCATTCTGTTATTGGCATATGTGCATGCTGTGCGTATGCCACGATATTGCAGGTGCTTCCAGCTGACGAGCCACGAATAGGACGAAACGCGCGTCCTGAATTCCATTGCTAGCCACTATCCATCACTGCTTACAAAAAATTCTGTTAAATATTTCAGAAGTATTTTTGTTTTTACTCAATGTATATTTTATTTATTTATTTATTTATTTTAGTTTTTATCATCCATATTATGAAAATTCTCACTTCTGGTATCCTCATCATCCAATGAATATTAATCAACAAGAACCATACAATTATTATCAAACAACACAATTAAAATCAACTACTTACTCAAATAATTCACTAAACGACCTCCTATCTACTCTGCCTTCTCCAGTTAATATACCAACTTTTATTGATTCAACTAATTATAATACTATAAACAATATCAGTAATTCAATCGATTTAGAGGTATTTAATAATAGTAATACCAAACATCAATTGAATAATCATAATACAAAACAAATAATGATGAGTAATAGTCCTATAAAAGACTGGTCAAATTCACTAACATCTAATGAAGAATTATTAGATAAAAAAGATTATTCAATGTTTAAAAACTCCGATTTTCCACGTTATATTTCTTCATGTAATAATTTGTCATCTTTATTATCTTGTGATCATCGATTTCCTGAAGACAGTATGGATTGTTTTGTTGATTCCAATGGAACTGATGTAAATCATATGAACAGGTATATGATAAATGAAACTAATCACAAACAAATATTAAATAATAATAACACTAATCATTCTCACAGTGAATTATCCAATCAATTAAAAACTTATTTTGAACCAACAATAATTAATTGTCAACATCAGAGAACATCTCAGTCAACAGTATATCAGTATTGCCATCATAATTTGAATCATTGTTAAAATAGTATTATAATATTTAAGCTATTTATGAATTATCATTTTTTTAAAATTGAAGTAAATAATCTTATTTATACTGGCATGTAAATAAATTCTCTTATTGTGTTATATCTTTAATGTTGTTGTATTTGATTGAATATATTTTAATAGTTGAGATCGTGAGTCAATTGAAGCTAGACCATCATGGAAAACCTGGAAGCACTGAACGACCGTTTCTTCTTCCTCAGAAGTGCTCATCCACGATCCCGCATCCACAAAACCCCTTCTGATATTAGTCAACATATGCTCACTAGTGACTGGCTTCAAGAAATGTTTCCTGGAGTTCTAGTGCGAAGCAGTGATTAATGGAGTTCAATCGGGTCTGTTGTGAGATAGTAACTCACTGAAGACAATAGTGGATGTGTCGCTCAATTTCATGAATTAGTTGAAGTTAGACAGTGACACTATTGGATGTCGGCTCAGTGGTCTAGAGTTTAGGCGTTCACGCGCAAGACTTATAAGTCCCGGGTTGGAATCTCGCAGGGTGGGATCGTGAGGATTTCAACATCATCATCAGCAGCAGCAGCAGCAGCATAAATTACAAGAAGAGGTGAAGAATGAGAACTACTATATAAAATAACTAATGACCTATTCTGTAAATATGAAATTTTATTTTATACTGATAACAGCCTTACTATCAGTATTTATGATACTCATCAATGAATCTTTTCCATTATTTGAGCTCACAAAATAAAGAGGATTTATGCATGAGGTTAAACGCTTAAAATGAGTTCAGAATATTACATGATTATGGTTACTACAACCTACATTTCTTTGTATGTCAGTTTAATTTATATAACTATTTCACCGAGTAAATCACTTATTTTTCAACAAATCACAGCTGCTTAAATGATTATTATATTTTCATGAAGTGATATAACGAAATAGGAGGAATCCCAATAAGAATAATATGAATTCGTATTATTTCTTCGTTCCCCTTTAGCTGCTTAAAACGGTATCTGTATAACATAATATTAAACAGTTGGCATTGGTGACTGAAAAAGTTGAAATGATAGCGATAACCAGAATTCTATGTACATAAACATAAATGTCGACGAATAAAAATATATAAAATTATTTTGAGATAAATACCGAAAATGTAGATGAACAGTTCAATAGTACAATATCTAATAGACTACAGGTATAACATGGATATTTATAAATCATTGGAGATTTTAAACCTTTTGAAATTGGTTATCAATTTGAAAATATAGTTAATCAGACAAAGACTGTCGTTACTTTACCACAAAAATTTTGTTATGATTTTCCTATATCAGCAGTACTTCGATAAACATGGAATACATAAAGCGAATAAAAAGAGGAACAAAAGAGTTTTGTATTTAATAGCTGTTTAAGTTGTAGATCACCAACGTAGATGATCTATGTCGAATGATTGGAGGTCTACTCGGTATGACGAACCATCTAACTTCGAAGTCACACTTCGTGGTCAGCATCTAACGTGTATTATCCCTATGACGTATCAAAGTACCATGGCTGCTTTGAAGACCGTAAAACAAAAAGAACGTTGTTATGAAAATGTATTATTAAGAATGAGTACAGAGAAGACGGCGAAACCACCACTGCATGCGCCAGTCCATGGCATACGATTATCTGATGCGCTTTGGTTGTCCTTGGCCCTGACAAGGATCGTCGATTTGTCCGAAATTCAGTGACCTAACTGCCGGATGATTTGACTAGGGGTAAGTGACACTTCACTGGCCCTACAAAGTATTTTTAAAACCTCTTAGATCATCTAGAATGCTATGAGTTCGTTAATTTACCGTAAGTTGCTTCGTTTTTCTTTTCATGATTGTTTGTCACCTGTTCACAAGATTTGGAGACAACGGGGAGGTTTTCTAATATTGCTGATAACGTCACACTGTACGTGCTAGAATGAATCAAGAGTTTAATTTGATTAGTCAGTTATACCATGTGAATCTAATATGTTGTTGATTAACCAATGTAAATGTTACTCAGTGAACTTAAGCAAGATTGTACAATTATTCAGTGTGAACAAAATAAAGTAATAGAAAAATCCTTGTAGAGAAGTAATTTTTTATCCGATTTTAAATTTTAAATAAACAGTCTTATGCCAGTTATTGTCTTCATCTTTGCATTAAGGTAAAACACTTTTGTTCTATCGTATGCGTTGTAATTGGTCGCTCGGAAACGTATCAGACGTACGAATTCAACCTGAAGTAAGGAACATACAAATTTCAGTTGTTATTCACATTCAGTTGTATCCAATGACTACTATCGTTGTGAACAGCTAGTGAAGACCATTCGATTTCTTTTAGCATAAGTCTTCATGTTAGGGAGTTGTTTCTGAACCTTGGTTCCTCCCGATGATCTTTATCCATCTACTTGGCTAGAGTTACTCCCCTGGAAAGTAATTGTGTATCTGATATTTTCCAAATGACCATAGGTTTGCTGAAATCAGTAGCCACTATATCACTAGTCATTGGTTTAGTTGATTGCATCAACCCAGAATAACGGGATTTGAAAAGCGTTGAAGGGATAAAATACCCCTAAATAATTCGTTATTATAATGAAGTTTGAGTGGCGAGTAAAATAAAAATGTGAAGACTGTGAAGTTAAAAAACAAAGAATTATGATGGTAAGATGGTAGCTACCTTAATTTGGACAGCGTTCCATATGGAACGGGTACACAACGCAAAAGTCTGAGACCTCTTTTGCGTAGTCGTCGGTTAACGGGAAGTCTTATGGAAATGTATTGTGGCTTTTTATGGTGGTTTCGACTGAATGGTCTACTTTTGTACGTTGTAAGGTTGATTATTTTTTATTTAAAGCTGAGTGGAAGCTACTGTGATATTCTAGCGGGTCACTATAGTTTTTATGCTTTGATCCTTATCTTTAAAAATCCTCCGGAAGATTCATATCCTTCTAAGAGGAAGTTCAAGAGCATTGAGATTTTTGAAGTAAGGTCAGATTTACTGCTTAACAACGCTGCAAATAATTTGGAATTGAGAATAAGATTATGTCTACTGAGAAAATGAAGTTCAAAAAAATAAATAGGATTTATGTGTAATCGGTCTAGGTTTTTATTCTGTAGTGACCCACTTTTACCACGAGAACATGACTGGTTTAATGAGAACAGTCATTATCATAACCAACTGTACCAGTGCTTGTTCTAACGTGCTTTTGTTTAACTGTGCTAATTACAGCCATTTTGTGCTCCCATTACCTTCCATCATTGTTCCGCGGTTTTTGGCTTCGTTCGCACGTACTCCGTTCTCCTACTTTCGTTTGTACCATTTCTTGGTACGATCTTGGTATTCGTTCGATACCACGAGATCGCCAACTAAATAAATCTGGTTACGTTCAACCTTCGCCTTCTGATTTCCTTGGCAAGTGTTTCTTGGTAGTGGTGTTCATAGTCAATTGGGGAATTACATTCATAACATGCCTGGAGTACTCTTTCTAGATTTTATCGGTTCTTAAATTAATCCATGTGACAGGAAGTAACTCATGTACCCTATAGACATTCATGCCTACGAGCCTTTCTATATTTGCAGCTTGTTTTGTAGCAGCCTTTCTCACACACTATCGCTTCCTACGCTTATATTTCGATGCCTACAAACTGCCTGACTGTATACTGAAGAAATCTTAATCGCTTATTGGTAATCTTAGTGAAGGTGCTTACCTTGTGCCACGTCATTATACATGTTCAGATAAGTTGTTCTTGACAATAGTCGTCTTCCCATTCCTTGACTGCCTTCGGGATATCTTACCCGTACTGTTTTGACACTAGTATTGTTTGACTTTGTCGTATTTGGAATATATTCGGTATCAATGTTCGGCAAGTAGCAATGCTCTTCTCACTTGTGTTTATCAGACCCCTTCTCTGATTTCAAGTACGTTTCCACCTATCATGCGACGATTAATAAGGACAAACTGCGAGTTAGGATTATAGTGTTTTCTATGATTCTCGATATAGTGTTCTTCAAACTGTTTGGGTTATTCGAGCTATTATTTCCACTTATACTCATCTATACTATATACTCATCATTACTGACGAACAGAACGGAAAAAACGTTTACATGTTAAGTGGCCGATATATTTATCAATAATGTAAAGGTCGATCTTACATCTGACAACGTACCCGATAAGTGTGACATAACTGTAGTAGTGCAGAACCATAGTACTCTTCAAGTTATCAAAGCATATCGAATTAGCAAGAATACCATAGTAAAAGGAATGGACTAATCTCAGGAAATCTTTCTTTACATAAGCAAAAGGCTATGCAAATCGAATACTTCATGCTAGCTAGTTATAAATTGATGTAAAGTCACCTCAAAACAAGCGCAGTATTGATTGACTTACATGAGTCAGAGGAAGAAGGCTCAACTTCGAAGAGGTCTGTCCGAAATATTAACTTGAGAGAATAAGTTTCTTGTGGCTCCCATTCTCCAAATGACGGCCGGCAGGAAACGCCTAGAAAACCCAATCGTGAGACTAAATCCGTTTCTAGAAGGAAAAAAAATCCTGACCACCCAAGTTGTCGAGAACCATTCGCGATCTCACAATGCGTGTGACGTGACTGTGGTTGATGCTCCTACGAAAGTTGATGAATGGGTACTAGTCGAGAGTAAGAAATGACACAATGTTATTAATAAAAAAATCCAGTCCCCCAAAAGAGTGGCCGAGAAATCGAAGACTGATCATAGTGACAGGTCATTTATATTTCGCAGAATCAAGCAGAGTAAAAGCTCAGAACCCAAAACGCGTTTCGAGCATGACATTGAGTTGATAATACAGCTACTAAATCAGCTAATGCTTCAAGATATCTCTGGATTCACCAAAGATCCAAAGACTAGGTAGTCAAATGAACTTGAAACAAAATCAAACCAGGCTGCTTAAAGTAGTATTTAAATCTATCAATTAAATAATGTAGCGATAAATAAATCCCCAAAATGAATAGCTCTGTAGGTTTTCGACATTGT